TTATCCGGACATACCGACAGTGTCGAACACATCCCGACCTATAGACGAACATAAACAGCCAATAATGAGTGATATAAGAAAAGGCATTTTGAATAGCCAATCAGAAAGCGACTTAGTTCAGCCAACGCCAGGGTCATCTCCCCGACGACCGCCATCTTGAAAAGGAGTCGGCCGAGATGGCCCTGGGGACGAGGTTGAGTGAGGGTAAAGAAACTAAACTTCCTTACATTACTATAGCATGATTAGTCTTGATATACACAGGATACCGTGTTGTGTCCGCCATAACGAAGACATCGCTTACTGGTCTTCACGTACAACGCAAAACAGCAGTTTTTACCTTAAAACCCTAAAAACTATCGATTCGGCTAAAAGTATAAGGACTGTGGCAATGGAGTTCGCATTTSTGTGACCATAGCCGGYTCTGGCGCGAGCTATGGCATGAGATCTCCTACAATTATACWTGTGTGGTGTATAACCTGACCAGAGTTTATATAAACTCTTCCTGGACTTAAAGTGTGACCAAATAAATTGGATTTAATCAAAATGTGAGAACGTTTTTTGCTAATGTCTTCGGTTTTTAAATGTAGAAGAATATGCTGTCTAAAGATATTCAATAAAGAAGACACTCAAGCGGGTTGGTTTTATCAACAAAGGTGCTGTATTTACAAACTTTGTGGTTTAAAATCTCTTTATAAGATWCCGCGCCGATAGCTCTTCAAAAATGAATAAAACCAAGATATTATATCATCCTTAGTTTTTTTTTAACATGAGATGAGTGACGTATGAGTTCCCACTCTCTTTTCCAGACATCAGAAATTATTAATTTTACTCTTTTCCTTGATATTTTCGATTGAGCCAGTTTTTGACAYGAATGATTGTCATGAAGTCGACTGTTTTCTAGTAATTTGGTACCTATAGGATTAGCTTTTATGTAAATGTTGTTATGTGAAAAAGTCTTTCTTCCACCCATAGTTACAGTGGTATGTTCCACTTTAGTACCACTATTCAAGACCATGTTGTTTTATTAGTTCTGAACGAATCTGACACATGACTGTACTTGTTTATTCATAAAATCCTGTTTTATTCCTCTGAWTGTGAAGTGTTGATCATTGTTACTCGTTCGTCCATGGTCAGTTACATGGAATGGGGCGCGATTTATTTCTCAATTTTCACTTGKTTTTGAAGCCCTTTTTCTTCTACCAGTTTTTGTCCTCATCAATTGTGCGCCGTTCTCGACGTATCTTCTCTCGTAATTCGTTCACAAGCATTTTTTCCCGTAACATTTGCCTGGCTTTGTTCTCTTCACTAATGTTCGATGTTCGAAAAGACGCTTCCCGTGAAATGTTGATCCTCTTATGTGGATGGTCAGAGAATTCAWAGTCTTCATCGTCATAATTACTTATCGAGATGGCTAGTTCATCTAGCGTTAGTCCTGTGTTATCAATAGCGATGTGATTCGGTTCATTCTTCTTTACAACACCGTTTTCTGATTCAATCATTTTGACTTCAGTAGCTCGTGGAATTCTCGTGCTATTGACGAAAGGTGGCGGGAAGATGGCTGTGTTCGATTGCTTKACTGTRTGTAGTTCTTCTATGTAACCTTGAGGATAGYTTTCAATCATTGTGAAGGACCTTTGTCGCATAATTTCTTCTTCTTCCACGTCGCTGAAGASAAAAAAGTTTGTGCATTTAAAAAAAGGTTAATGCCGTGATAAAAATGCGCATGGCAATCCCCTGATTAAATACCTACCGAGTAGGCAYCCAACCACGCCCAAATAGYCAACTACTAACCAACCAACCATTTCGCTAACCAACTAACCAGCCATTAACTTCCCTTACCATTGACCAACAAGCCAAACTACGTCCSAGTCAATCTGAATAGCCAACTTGTGTACCAACAAACCTATAGACCACTAGCYTATCATTCAAACTTAAAAACTGCCAAACAAACAGCAATACAAAGTGATCTACAAATCCAACTTCACTTAACAAACAATCAACCGACAAGCTAATAAGCACGACAAGTTATGAACAATACCTTTGATCAGCATCGACACTCTTCCTGGTATGGCAGACATACAGAATAACAACTATCATGGTGACGAGAAGAAAGCCAACAGCTGCCCATACTATTATAACCCACAAGGGAACGCCTAGTCCTACAATCAAAAATCTAGAACGGTCAGATATCAATTACTCCTACTTTTTCCTGCGCCATCTTTAAAAGTACCGCATACGTTTGCATCAAAGTACTGAGCCTGCAGTGATAGAGACCTTTTTTCACACCACGCAGTTTTTCCCACCTATCTCTTACTGTAAGCTCAACCGCTGTGTCGCTTCAATACAAAGGCTCGGTTACCTTTCAATATGGCGCTGGAATGTGCAAGAGATCATATAATCGTTACTATCTCCTTTTAGTGCAAAGACTCAAAGATTGATATAACTTGAAAGTTTAGATTCAGCGCATTATTTTAAAATACACAATATATTTGAAATGGTGACTTCGCTTACATTTAATAAAATAACTCAACTAAACTTGAAAGTCGACATAGAAATTTTGTTTCAATTTGCGCATGCGCCATTAGGTATTTTARTGACATGATATTTTGTCAAACCTTTTTCAGAAATCTTGATCGCAATAACAGCGATGACATSATTTAAATGTTTCATGTATGTGGTAGGATTAGCGAAGAAAAATCGCACAAATTGCTTTTCAATGTATGCTTGATTCGTGGGTGACAATTTTACTTAGGAAGGTGCTATATAAAAATACTGTTTATACAGATGTTTCATAAAAATACTGTTTAGATATTGAATAGTCAGTACAAGTACTTACCTAAATCATAGAATGGGGTGTCTGTTGCAGTCTTGTTCGACATCAGATTAAATGAACGTGAAAACACTGTAAAAAAAACGCACAATCAGTTTGGCATAAAGAGGCTTGTCCGTATTGAAATGAAAAAAATATTTTAAAACAACTTACAAAATCATCAAACTGAATGTGATTTCTTTTCAGTTTGTTGCTAAATAATATGGATGAGTTGTGAAGTAATAAAATRATCAAGTTCCACTTTTGTGTAGACCTTTAAAATCCGTTTTTTTTGTCAAGAATATGAAAAAATAGTTATATGACGAGGACTTAAGATACTAAATATCATACACCTTGATTTGGCCGCGTTGTCTCGCCGCTCGATTTTCAAAATGTCCTGTTATTCGCCACAGTGTAAAAACAAAACATAAAGCTACTGAATTATGCATTACGATCTATCATTATCCTGAATTCAAATGACTCTAAAACATCAAACTTAGAGGGATTTGTTGCCACGAAGGAAATCCTCTTTTTGCTTGTCAAATGATGGAGCGTATTATGAGAAATGGTATATATAACTGAAAAAGTTTGGACAGTCTTCCTGTTTGATAAGCAGTTTCCTGGTAGCGGYGKTAATAAGCACATGAATTTGCCATTCAATAGCCCCAGAAACATGTTTATATTTACATGGTTATATTGTATATAATAGATGTTCTATGACAACATTTGATGGAAACACTATTRCAAACAGCTGCTGAATAATGTTGTCATGACGACCTTGGCTTTGACAATTCTTTCTTGCAAGTGATCTCAAGTAAGATTAGATTGAAGAACTTGCTCATCAACAAGGACAAACAGATAATCATTGGAACTCAATCATTCTTGAAATYAAAACCAGCCCCTGTTTTATGCATACTAGACATKACAACAAACACAGGAAATATCCAAGCATTTGTCTTTGTCGTTCACTAGCATAACTCGTTTCTACAAGAAGATGAAAAGAGAATTTGCTTATTTCTATATGCTCACTCGAGAAACAGACAAATCTTACCAGAAATTTTGATATTCTTAGAAGTACAGAATTCCCTTCATGTCCATGGAATATATAAAGCTATGAATGTCTTGGTGAACATACTTTTTACTTATCAATAAAACGAAACGATTACCCTCACCATTTTTGAATTAATAAACGTAAATAYATGAAACTTACTGGTATTTTTGACGAGCTTTTTTTTAAAAGACTAGCTAGGACTTACTTAGTTTCTCGATGTTGTTTTTATGCACTCAATCCAGGGCTAAAAAGTTATTGAATGTAGGTTTGAACGCAACAAAAGAATATTGTTATTAAAGGAAGGTATTGTTTATAGTTGTATTGTRTTTTTGTTTGCAGCATTTATTTGCTTGTTGTTATTGTTTAAGAGAATACCTTGGAAAAAGTCATTTCGACTTGGGCATTTGTTATTTAGCGGTCTGTGATGTCAACCATATCTTCTATCATAATCTAGTCTTCTTCTATCAGTTATCGCCGCCATTATTTATATTCAGAACCGGTCAAGGTATCTTTATATTATAAATGGTTTGAAACCAGTCCATTTAAGTTGATTATATKAATTYAATCATCGGTGCCWTTTTTTCGTGCAAATAAACTAAGTCATGTTTGTGTGTGCAGCATGGTGGTGTTGGCGAGCGCGCTCAGCTTACACCTTAAACAACAGAGACATGCTAGTATATTMTCTTAATGTRCATTATCTGTAAARGCTTTCTCGTCTGTTTTATYGCACCTAATTGCTTTTTTCTTTGTTTGTTTGCCTCTTGGTTAGAGGTTACTATACTATGCTAATGGTGTATGTAGACCGTATGATTCTATTGTACTTAACTACTAGTGAATATTCTTGTATTATTATTATTATTCTCTTTTGTTGTTGTTGTCTCCGTCTCTTAGATAACAACTTAACGGAATACTTAAACAACATTAAAAGTATTGACTTTCAACTTGTTTTAGTATAAAAAATTGATAAACAACTTTTAGTATAGTAAGTATCATATCGGAAGTGATAAGACGTCGCCTCCTGGGGTCTAAGTTAAATGATTGGCAATTTAGTCTGTACTGTCACTTTCAATATTGCTATCACGAATTTGCGTTTAATGACGCCACGTAACAAGGATCATGGGTAAATGACGTGCGCAATGACTCCATGACAAAACGAAGAGGTCGCTTTAAGCAACGCTCGCTACTTTAGTTGCTTTAATCGTGTAAATCTTACAAGTTACAGACTCACAGTGACGTGCAGTCTAAATGAAAAAATAAAATCGTCATAAAAAAATAAAGACTAAGTGGTTTTGCCATCTCTACCAGACATGAGCTATCTAAAGACGATATGGATCGGCATAACGAATGATTACATTTTTACTGAGATTCATCTATGGATATTAAATACACGCACGCGGCCCGTTTTAAGAAAAATCGAACAAATATGGGGTATTTTGACTTGAAGTTAAATAGTTCTACCGAGAACTTGTCTACTCGAACCATCCGGAAATTTATACATTACTAAACGAGTGGATTCCCTCGAAAATAATTAATAAATATCGTCCGTGTATCATGTCCGTATTGACGTTTTTCATTTGATTAAGTAAGACTTCTCCTTTCGCTTATCTCTCTTCTTTTCACTTCTCTTCCATTTGAGTCAGAACGGTATCTATACTTTCATTCAATATTGCTAATATTTTCCTATACCTAATCGCATCGCGTAAAATATGTATTCAAGAACAAAGTACAATTCCTAGTAGTGCACTTTTTCATTTAAATTAATGACACAAAAGCCTTTAGTTATGGCGCATTTTAGTGTTTTAWAACACTCGAGATCTTTTTAAATTCATAGCATTAGGATCACGTAGGGATCTTTCAAACCTGTGGATAGTATATTGCCACAAAGTCGTTCACCTTGTTTTWGTACAATAATTTACCAACAAAACATTAGTTAACTGATGTGTTGGATATCAACTTCTAGCGAAATGGTTCTAGAAATATTAAACCCAGCGTGTTTCCCAGTATAGTACTACATCACAATTTGAAACCTTTACCTAAGCCTACTCTAACATAGAAATGTACACAAAATTCAAACATGATCAATTATTAATGYTTGCAAATGTTTTTTTCTTGTCCCTGGATCATATTGTGAAACATTAATTCTTCTTTTTTAAATACATGCTGTGCGAATAACTTTTCGCCTTAAGCGTATAATTTAATGAAAAACGAATTCATTTTCTCCGTTTTCAATCTCCTTGAGCACGATTTGATATACGACCAATATATATATCATAAGAAAATATGTTTGTACCAGTTAATAGTATTTAGTCGGTGAATTGTCCTATCAAGATGTTTAACTTGAGCTAAACCTTATCTTTACTTCAGTCAAAACACAACTTTGTGTTTGTGAGATAAAAGCTCTTGAAATTGAAAAAAATCCTTTTTGTAAGATTGCAAAAAGACTTCAATATAAAAACTATTTACTTGCACGGCAATGAACAAAGCAGAGCGCTTTGGAATTCCCCATGTAAGCGCTAAATCTTTAACAATGGATTGTGTGTATTCTTACCTTTAAGGATATTTTCAGTCGCTTTCTCTCGGCCAATCTTTTATTGTATGGTAGACCTTTTTTAAACGAAGCAGTCCACTTAAAATGAATGCTAATGCCGTAGTCAGCGTTTCTTTAAATTGTCCTGCTCATCAAATCTTTATCAACAGAGAGCGTGTCAATATTTTAGTATATTCAAACAGAGAATTCCTTTTCGAGTCGAGAAGTAATTTCCTAGCTCATTCTATTTTTTGGAGCGTTATGTCACAAGGGGATGATTAATGGATTATCCGTCGCAATGAACGGGCTTTGATCATACCAAATCTTCTTGATTTACTAGTCTAAGCCACGACAAATTGATGTGAGAATAAATTGGTCGAATCTGACAGATTTTCCACTTTTTTGCAGCTTTTCGGCAAACCGGAAACTGAGGGCTCTTTATTCGCAGGTGMATGGACGCGCAGATGGTTGTCGACATGATAACGAGGCTGAAATCGTGAGGGAAATGGGACGAGAAATACATAGGTTTAAACTGGTTTAGACTTTTCTGCCAATAATGCAGTTTCACCTGCCAGCACTTTAATCCAAGAATGAGAACGTCAATTGTTTTTTGTTCCTTCCTCCTCTTATCGGCCCATTCCGTCTATAATCAAGTCGTAACAGTGGGATGTAACACGTACATTTCAAACTGTTTTTTTTGCCCCCTCAAATGGCGTGGCTGACTTCAAACCATCAAAACAAGTCCATGAACATGTTATCTAAGACGTTTTGTAGGAAACTCTTTTCCATTCTTCTCGCATACTTTTCGTGCCGCAAAGCATTGTGGGAAGAGCAAACAATAATAATGTTCTTCGTAGCTAAGATTGAATATATAAATCAATCTTTGCCTGGAATCAATCTGAGAAACAGCCATCTAAAATTTTAATATTTATTGAACAATTGTTTACAAAAATACATTTTCTACAAAAAATATACATGCTTCAATCGGAAATTAAATAAAATTTACAATCTATTCTCGTCACCATTTAATTATGGTTCTTGTATTTGAATGAAATCATTGTCGTCGTAATTAAAAATATTTGCCATTGAATAAATTATTGTTCTATCAATTGTTGCTATCAAAAGTATTGCCCCAAATGGTGGATAGGATTTGCCCYGTTTAGTATTTGTTCAAGTTTTCAATTATTCTTATTACGTTATAAGCTTAATCACGACTAAATATCAGTTTTTGAAAGTGTTAATAGTGCTAAAATTCTATCGAACATATTAACGAGTTCTATCGAACTCAGGAGAGGAAATCATCAATGTATGAATATTCATTGAGATAACATTTTCTGTTTTTTTAGTATCTCGTCTTCAAGGTATTCCAACCGTCTCATGATAGTGTCTTTGTGCATTTCAACGTTTCTGAGCTGTTCCTTTACAGAAGAGAGTCGTTCCATATCGATGTCCGTGTTTTCTTCCATTTCCTTGATTGTTTCATTAAGTGATGCTTCAGATTTCATCACCTTTGTCAGTTCAACGTTACAATTGTCGATGTCTCGCTCCATTTTAGTAATTTGTCGGTTTAAGACTTCTTTCGGTGTCATGATTCTCGATATTCCAGATTGTGGATGYCTGTAAAACAATGCCATTGTAAATAAGTGATCAATTTTCTGGAGAGGAACAKATATACACCATACCTTGTTTGGTCGTTCGGCGACGTTTGACCAGTCAATTCACGAATTCTTTTCATTGCAAAACCTTCTTTCCTTTCGGTCGTTGCTTGMGCGTTAGCAAGATATTCTTTAAGATTCGCTCTAGTCAAGAATGCATTCTTCCTTGCGAGACGCTCAGAAATCCCCTATAAATAGAAAACATTAGAAAAAAAGAACCAGTCACGACTATGTCAAGTAATGTCTATAGTACATATCTTTCACAAGCCCTACCTTTATGGAGAAGTCTGTGTCCGATGAACCAATAACTTTCAAATTGACTAGTTCCTCGACCACATTTATACGTTCTTGTACGGCGGTGGACTGACTGAAGGTAGCCTTAAAGGTATCATACAGAGAAGCTGCATTGTCAGCGGACATCGCAGGACCAGACGGACGAGATCTTTGGAAAAACATGTCTTGACAACAGATCCTCATTGCCTGTCAAGCAAACATCATRAATGTCAATCTTAATTAACTCTTCCAAATACTTATTAAAAACAGCAACTTTTAATTATTGTTACTTATCAAAAATGTGCGAGACGGACCTTGTAGAATTCCCTCAAGAATAGCGTGTTGTTATCGTTGATAAGATCACCAACTTTAATATGAGCCAGACAGTGCATAATGACCACTACAAAGTCACCAACTGATTGCATTCTTTCTTGGCGAATAAACAAGATTTTTCGAGCATGCTCAAAGAAGAAGGAGTTTCTGAACGCGTTTTGGCTGTAGTCATTGGTTGGGAGATTTGACGCGAGCAGTAATGTCACATCCGGGACTTGCATTGCTTGTTTGAGCATGTCAGCTATAAAAACCCCAAATCGGTAGACAACGAAGTTTGTGGGACTAAGTTCATTGATATCGACAGGAACCAAGTCTCCACCACACATCCATTGTGCATCTTGTAGATCGATGTATGCCCTGCCACCGCTGGCTCCAGATACACCACCTTCACCTATATTGTTTCGCAGTTTAGACTCTATTTCACTAAGACTCTCAAACAGAGGTGATCCTAGGGCCATGCTGGCTAGATCGTGTTCGGGAACACCACCACGTGCCTCTGCGAAGTGAGGTACGGTTCCTGGAAGACCTGCTTCATCTGGTAAGCCTGAAACGAWTTGACAAACGTTTTAATCAAATGAAACTGATGAAGAAATGAGACCGTTATTTATTTACTAACCGCTTGGCTTGTCCTTTGAAGGAGGTGTTTTTGGTCGCGAAGGCGTTAAAGCAGCCATTTTCGTTGCTCCTYCTTTTTGTAATGCACTGACTTGCTGTCGTTCTAGTTCTTTTGCCACGACAGCGCTCTCTTCAGCAGCTTGAGTTATGTCTTTGACAGCAGCATCTCGTTTCTTCTTTCGTCGAGCTTCAAGCTTTTCGCGTAGTGCTTCCTTGACTCTGTCTTGTTCTTTGCGCAGATTTTKCTCGAATTTGGCCATGTTTTCCTCATGCTCTCTTAGAAGTTTCTAATTAAAGTCAAAACATGTTTTAGTCCCGGTCATAATATTTTGCATTCATGCACTGTTATTCTTAAAACAAATTCTAAAAACCCAGTAGACAACAATGTTGTATTCATCTACCTCCTTTTCTTCTTCATTCAAGCCTTGTTGTGCCAATGATAACTGTTTGGCAGCTTCTTGTTCCTGAGCAAGTTTGACCTTTTTAGCAACACGTTCAGCTTCTCTTTCTGCGAGACGAAGCTCTTCTTGGTTTCGTTCTTCATCGAGTTTTGCTTCCAGAATTCTACAAATGTACACATTTTCAATTATTTTTACGTTGAAATCAAGAATTACGAAGAACAACATCACGATTACATACCGAATCTCTTCGTCCATTCGCTGTCGCTCTTCTTCGCTTTGAATTCTTCGTTTTTCTTTGATGTCCTCAATCTTTTTCGCCATGTCAAACATCGTYCTTTCGCGGAATTCTTTAGCGGATTCTGCTGCTTGTTGTGCCTCGTCGATGTATCTCTGCTGGAGTTCCTGTAGTACGAAATGATTTCAAAAAGTTAATTGAATAAACTAAACGTTTCACGACCGAATAAATTCATGTTATGAAGTGTTGTCCTCAAGATTGAACCAYTCCTTTCGTTTAAACGAAGTAGGTTAAGATAACCGGTCATTTATGGAGCTACTATCRCGAGGTGCAAATTAAAAGTAGATACCAGTCACAAACCTCTTCTGTTGTCAAGTCTTTCATGGTTCCAGCCAGTTCTTGTAGTTGTTTTTCTCTGAGTTCAAGACGAGCGTAAGCATGCTTGACTTCCAAAGACGGCAAACTATCTTGCTCTGCTTTAGCAATCAATTCTTCTGTTTCTGCGTCAAACTCGGCAAGTTGTTTCTGTAAAGGGGTATAAATCTCTCATTTACTGAAATTGCTACAGTGAGTCGTGTCTGATAAAACTATAATGCAATTTACCTTATGTCTTAGCTTGAGTTCGGCCTTTTGCTGCGCAAGTTCACCACTGCTTAGGGATCCCGACTTACCAATWAGWTCCATAAACTCCTACAAAAGAAAATGGTGAATATATGGAAATRCACTGCCATATAGAACACAAAGAGWYTCTTACTTTGTCTTGCTCAGCGATGAGCTCATCTCTTGCTGTCTGTCTGGTATCTTCAGCTTGCGCCCTAGCCTCTGCCTTGGCAATCTCGACTTCTCGCGAAAATCTTTCTTCTGCTTCCACCTTTTCTTGAGTATGTCTTTGCTGCAGTACTTGAAATACAGTGTTGCCTGCTGTTTCGTTGTCCATGTGTTGTACTTTGTTTGCGAGAGTYTCTTTTTGTGCTTGTTTTGCCTGAATRAAATAAACAGCAATAAAGTTAMGCAAACAAAACAAATAAATAATCTAACATAGAAAGGGGAAATGTTGAAAAGAGGAAATTTAACCAAATGAAAAAACCCCTCCTTACTTGGTCATTCCATATTTGCTGTCTCTCTGCTTGTTGGTCTAATAATTCTTTCTTCACTTCAACATTATGTCTGGCTTCTAATGCTGCTGCTCTTCTTCTGCGCTTCTCCAGGATCTTACTACTCAGGGCATCATTTTGGCGGCGTTTCTCTGYATCAAGATTTCTTTCCAAGAATTCAATTTCTTGTCGGTGTTGCTCAAGAAGATGGTCAGCTTGTTCTTGTGAAAGCTTATGAGCGTCACGTTCCATGTCTTTATTAAATTGYTCTTTTTTAGCCTTGATAAGCTACAAAACCAATGCAATGAACACAGTTCAATATATGTCAACGGAGTGATTTYGATTTMATTCATGTTTTARATASGTACCTTTTTCTTCTGTTCGTCAATTTGTTCGTTGATCTGAGCTTCGTTAATCTGTCGTTCTTCTTCTAGCTGGTTTTCCATTTCGTCGAGTCGTTCTTGATTTTCAACTTCAAGTTCAGCCTGCCGTTGTATTTGTTTTTCTGCAAGTTCTTCTACAGCCTCGCTAACTTTGTCTTCAATGGTTGCGTCTGCTTCATGTATGACTTCAAGCGCGGTGTCTTCTCCTGTCAATGTCGCCTGTAATTACATTGAAACAATAACTTAATGATACGTTAAATAACCGTGCACTTTTTCGTCAATTACTRACGACTTATCGCATATCATTATCAAATCACTACACACGTATTGACGGCAAACATTACCTGTTTGACAGCCATGTCCTTCAGTTGTTGTTTCATGGCTTTTTCTGCCGACATTTCGTCTCTGACTCTCTTTCGTGCAGCAAGCTTGGCTGCTAGTATCGCTCGGCTCTTTGACTGCATATCTTGGTATCTTTCTTTCATCATTTCAGCCTCTTCCATGAACTGTTCTACAACTTTTTTCTGTTCATCTTCTGAGAGTTGGGACTTCTTCAACACGTCAGATACAACCTTTTGTCTTGCTTCATTTTCAGTTTCAGATTCAACATCATCAACCACTGACATTAGCATCTCCTCTTCGCGTAACCGATCAGCGTTCTCACGTTCTTCCAATGCCGCTTTGATGTCAGCTTCTTCTTGTGACCCTGGCTCCACRTTCTTGAGTTCGGCCTCAAGATCAGCRACAGACTTCCTTCCTCGTTTCCTTTCCTTRCGCTCTTTCATTTTTTCTTTCATGTTTGAGCGACGTGTCTTACTCTTTTCAAGAACCTAGTGAATCA